GAGTCGGCCGCTGTCACCTGCAGCAGCCGCAGCCGGGAGCCAAACACCTGGGAGAGGGGGGACATGGGGGTTACTGGGGCCACTCGGGCTTCCATTATGGGACTATGTGGGCTTGAATGGGACCACCAGAGCTTGAATGGGGCCATCTGACCTTGCATGAGCTACTTGGATTTGCATGAGTTACATGAGCTTCCACAAGCTACCTAACTTTGCATGGGCCAACAGGGCTTGCATGGAGCTTCCTGGTCTTGTATGGGGTCACCTGGGCTTGTAGGGGGCTACCTGGGCTTCCACAGGACCATCTGCATTTGCACGGGTCACCTGGGCCTGCCCAGGGCCAGCTGGCCATTCACTGGCCCCCAGCACTTGCATGGGCCACTTAGGCTTGCCCAGAGCCGTGGGTCAACCTCATCCACCCCCCTTGGTGACACCCCCTCTCTGTGACCCCTACCTGGTGCTTGGCTGGGAGGGCTCCCCCRCGCTTRTRCCAGGTGACAGTGGCCTGYGYRGGGCTGGCAATGACACAGTTGAGGTCCAGGGTCTGTCCCTCGACAATGGCCGAGGATGGGGAGTCAATGCGCAGGGGAGTCGTGTTGCCCGGAGCTGGTGAGCAAGACAGGAGGGTGACACCAGTGACACAAGTGACCACAGCAGGGCTTCGCCTTGGGCACGTGAGCCACAGCTGGCACTACCACCCCCTGTCCCCGCTCACAATAGGCGCTGGCACTGCTGGGCTGGATGGTCACCATGACCGCGCTCTCCTTGGTGGTGGCCCCRCTGGTCACCCGGCACACRTACTCGCCCGAGTCAGCCGCTGTCACCTGCAGCAGCCGCAGCCGGGAGCCGGACACCTGTGGGGAGGGGACACAAGGGTCACCAGGGCCACCTGGACTTGCACAGGGCTGTGCATCAACCCTGGCTGTCCTTTGTGTCATCACCCTCAGCATCCTCTACCTGGTGCTTGGCTGGGAGGGACCCCCCACGCTTGTACCAGGTGACAGTGGCCTGTCCCTGTCCRGCCACGATGCAGTTGAGGTCCAGGGTCTGTCCCTCGGCCACAGTGGACGAGGACGCCTCGATCCGAACAGGGACACCTGAAGCTGGTGGTCCTGTGGAGGACAGAGCTGTGACCACCTGTTGGGAACCAGCGCATCCCCTCCAGTGCTGCTGAGCCCAGTCTCACCATAGGATGAGCTGGATGCGGCCACGACGGTGACAATGACGGACGCCTCCCGGACGGTGGTCCCCAGGCTCGCCCGACACACGTATTCCCCTGAATCATCTGCCGTGATGTGGGGGACACGGAGTCGGGACCCTGACACCTGCAGTTGGGGACACGCCTCGGTGTCACACAGCAGGGGAGGGCAGTGCTTGGGATGCTGCCCACCCGGCTGTGCCCCACCTGGTGACCAGCAGGCAGGGAGCCCCCACGCTTGTACCACACCACAGTGGCAGAGCCAGGTCCTGCCACCACACAGTCCAGGTCCAGGGTCTGTCCCTCAGTGACAGATGGGGATGAGGACTCGATGCGGACAGGCAGCGCCGTCCCTACGGGGAGCAAAAGGAGGAACGTGGGTGGGTTATAGCGTCCCCAAAACCATCCCTGAACACCACTGGTGTTCCCCACCCTCCTCACCTGGCACCACAGCCACCTCGATGGTGGCAYGGGCCATGCCAGTGGCGCTGGTGCCCACGCAGAGGTAGATGCCACCATCGGCCGCCGACACAGCGGGGATGACCAGAGTGGAGATGTCACCTTGCTCAGTGCGGGACTGTGGCACRAGGGTGGGTGTCAGAGGCACCTGTGGTGCAGCCACACCCCCCAGAGCACTCAGGGGTGCCAGCACCCCGCTCACCTGTGGTGGCAGGGCGCCGCCCTGTTTCTCCCAGGTGATGGTGGCAGTGGGGGATCCTGAGACCCGGCAGTAGAGCCGCACCGTGGAGCCCTCCTGCACCTCCGCCCGCTCTGGGCTCACCTGCACCTGCGGGGTGCCCGCACCTGTGGGGGGAGGGGGTTCAGGGGGGTGCTGGGTGGTGGGGCAATGATGGGTGGGGACAATGGACAAWGGGTGACACGAGTGATGCAGACAATGAGGGTGAAGGGGACCATGGGGTGATGGAGGTGATGGGGTACAATGAGGGTAATGGAGATGATGAGGATGACGGGGACAGTGGGATGATGGGGGGATGACAGAGATGATGGGAGTGATGGGGGTGATGGAGGCAATGGGGATGATGGGGATGATGGGGATGATGGAGTGGACAGAGATGATGAAAATGATGCAGATGATGATGATAAGGGTGATGGGGACAATGGAGTAATGGGGGATGATGGGATGATGGAGATGATGGGACAATGGAGGATGAAGGGGAAGAAGAGAACAATGGGGAGGGACAATGAGAGTGACAGGGATGATGCGGACAGTGAAGGTAATGGGTATAAACGGGGGGTGACAGACAGTGGTGATGGTGGGATGGTGAGGACAATGGAGACAATGAGATTATGGGATGGTGGGGATGAGGGGTATGATGGGGGATGAAGGGGATGATGAGGACAACAGGGTGACAGCAATGATGGTGACAGGGATGATGGAATAAGGGGAATGAGGGGGATGGATAATGGGAGGTGACAGGGATGATGAGGGCTATGGGGATGATGCGGATGACAGGGATGATGCAGACCATAGGCGCAATGGAGGTGGACATTGGGGTGATGGGGAGTGACAGGGATGATGGGTGATGATGGGAGTAAGGGGGGTGACGGTCAATGGGGACAATAGGGGTGATATACATGATAGCAGTGATGGAAATGATTGGAGCGATGGGGATGCTGGAAATGATGGGGACGGGGATGAAGAAGACAATGGGGTGACAGGGACGATGGTGATGCCACTCACCTTGCACGTGGAGGAAGGCGCGTGCTGTGTGCTGCCCGGCACTGCTCCGTGCCCGGCACTCGTACTGCCCCTCATCGGCGGGCTCGACAGCGCCGAAACGCAGCGTCCCACCCTGAACCACAGCCTGTGGTGGCAGTGCACCTGCGGGGACACGGCCCGATGTCACCTCCGGTCACCWTGTCCTCATGCCTGGTGCCGGTGTCCCCCCATTCCTAGCAGGCACCTACCGAGCCACTCGAGGGTGGGCTGGGGGCTGCCGGTGACGACGCAGCGGAACTCGGCTGGCTGCCCCGGTGCCACGCTCAGCTGCGCCGGCTCCACGGTGGCGGTGGGGGCGGCGGTGGTGCCAGCTGCGGTGAGACCCAGTGGGGCTCAGGGCTTGCTGGGCCCCCCCGGTGCTGTCCCCAGGCGGTGGGGCGGTGGGAAGCAGGGTGGCGTGGCATGGTCGGCAGTGGGGTGCATGGTGGAGCCCTGACATGCAGCAAGTGGGGGGACAGTGTGGACCCCCGGGAACCCCCGGGTGACTTACCCGGTCTGTGCCCCTCCATGAACTCAACAGGTCCATAGAACATCTGAGTCTTTGAGGCAGCTGCAAGACGGGGTGGGTGTCAGGGGAGTGAGCCTGTCACCCCAGTGTCCAGGCACCAAACCTGCCCACAGCCCTGGTGTCTTGTCTGGGCACCAAACCTACCCAACACCTTGGCATCTGGGCACCAAACCTGCCCATGGCAAACGTGTCTGGGCACCAGGTGTGCTCACCACTCCAGTGCCTGGGCATTCAACGTGCCCATCACCCCAGCATCTGGGCATCATGCGTGCCCATCACTGCAGAGCCAGGGTGGTGAGTGTGCCCATCACCCGAAGGACTGGGCACCAAGCAAACCCRTCACCCTGGTACCTAGGAACTGAGTGTGCCCATCACCCTGGCATCTGGGCATTGACACCCAAACACTGAGTGTGTCCATCAAACCCAGCATCTGGGGCTGCAAGTGACCACCACGCCGGTGCCTCGGCACAGTGTGTGCCCATCACCCTGGTGTCTGGACAGTGAATACGCCCATCACCCTGATGTTGCCCGTCACCCCATTACCACAGGTGCCTCTCACCCCACCAGCATAAACGCCCATCCCCCCCAGTGTCAGGGCTCACTCTGGACATAGAGCGTGGCAGTGCCCTGGTCCATGTCCAGCATGTTGGAGCCAGTGCAGACGTAGACTCCGGCGTCCTGGGGCCGCACCCCACGCAGCGTCAGGATTCCGTTGAAGTCCACGGCGCCTGCCGGCAGYGTCCCATGGTTCTGCCGTGTCCACACCAGGGTGTAGGCAGGAGACTGGAGGGGACAGAGGTTGGGAGGCCTGAGACGACGAGGATGAGTTTGTGGCAGGGCACACGCCTGGCTGTGCTCCCGTGAGGGAGAGGAGGGCACCCAGGGGTGTCCCATAGAGCCATGTAGGGACCCAAKGGGCCTGGGGGTCCATATGGGCACAGCTGTCCCTGTGCTCTGGATGTCCCCATGAGTACATCCTTGGGCGTCCCTTTGCTTTGTGGGACCAGGTGGGCACCCAGGGGCATCCCCACACCCTAAATGTCCCTGCATACATCYAGGGGTGTCCCTGTGCCCTGGACATCTCCATGGGTACCCACAGGTGTCCTTCTGCCCTGCATGTCCAGGAGTGTGTGGGAAATCCATGGCACACCACTTCCCTACCTCTGTGGGCACTCAAGGGTGTTCTCATACCCTGCATATTCCCAAGGGCACCCAAAGATGMCCTGTGTGACCAGATGGGCACAAGGTATATACAAGGGTATCTCTGTGCACCCTGAATGTCCCCACAGGAACCTATGGGAGTCCTCATCCCCTCCATCTCCTGCACACAGGGGTGTCCCCATGCCCCGAATGTCCCCGTGGGCACCCAAGGATGCCCTGCAGCCCCCTGCCATGCTGTGGGCCCCTCACCTCACCTTGCTCTTGGCGGTGCAGACGAAGGTGACGTCGGCGCCAGGCTGCACCCGCTGTACCCGCTTCTCCTCCACGGTGACGGTGATGGGCTTGTCAGGGGTCTCTGYGCCACATAGAGAGCTGAGCCCCACTCTTGCCCCCACTTCATGTACATGCCCCGCTTGGTGACAATGACCTACCGGTGACAATGACCTCAGCKCGACTGGCATTGGCGTGCTGGAGGTTGCGGCAGGAACAGACATAGACGCCGGCTTCGGAGGGCTGGATGCTGGGGAAGTGCAGCTCCTCGCCTGGGGGGACACGCAGGTGGCACCCCATGCCTTGGGGATATCCCAATGACCCCCCCTGGTGCCCCCCAGTACCTTGTCGGCGGCTCTGGGCGCCCTCGGGGAGGGGCCGCCCGTCCTCCCGCACCCAGTGGTAGTAGAGCGGGGGCTCCCCGGTAGCCTGGCAGTGCAGAGTGACAGCGCTGCCCTGGGGCACCGCCGTGCGCAGGGGGTGCACGCTCACAGCCAGCGCCRGCCGGGGCCCCGCGGGGACACAGCCCTGCCCCCGCACTGTGGGGTCACCCACATAACCTGGAGCACAGCTGCAGGGGACAAYGGGGACACTGGGTTTGTCAGGGCATAGTGGGGTGCAAATGGCGGGGAGTGTTTTGGGGTGGGTGTAATGGGGTGGGCATACTGGGGTACCTGTGTTGGAGTCAGGGTATTGGGGTGAGTGTAGTGGGTTGAGCACATCAGGGTGAGTACATTGGGATGGGTATAGTGGCGTGGTGACTTTATTAAGGCGGATTTAAGGGTAGGCACTTTAGAGTGACTGTTGGGGTGAGGCCATCAGGGCAGGTGCACTGTGTACTGGGGCACATATGTCAGGCTGAGCCTGACATCCTTTAGGATGCAAAACTTGGGGTGAGTGCATCAGGGTGGGTGTAGCAGGAGAACATTGGGGTGGGTATATCAGAGYGTATTGGGGTGAGAATAAGGATGAGCAGTTTGGGGTGGGTATAAGGGGGAGTACTTTGGGATGGGTCTGTTACGGAAAGRTCATCAGGGTGAGTATATCAGGGTGGGTATACCAGCATAAATTGGGGTAAGCATATTGGGGAGCAGTTGGGGTGAGTACACTGATGCTCTCTAGGATGCATCTGTTGGGGTGAGTTTATAGGAATGAGTAAATTGAGTGGGTATAGCAGAAGTACATTGGGCTGGGTATCTGGGGGTGGGTTTTGGGGAATGGTATGTGGGGGAGAGCCCCCACATAACCAGGATGGTTATGTGGGGGCGAAGTAATGGAGGTGGGTTGCAAGGTAATGGAGGTGAGTTTTGGGGATAGGCATATTAGGGTGACTCAATCAGGGTGGGGTTTTGGGGTGGGTATATGGAGTGAATCCATGGGGTGGGTTTTTGGGGGGGTATATTGGGTTTGGGTTTGGGTGGGGTATATTGGGGTGGATTTTGGGAGGAGGTATATGGGGGTGAGCCCACAAGGGGCAGGCTTTTGGGACAGTTTTGGGGTGCCAGCAGCCTCACCGCTCACAGTACTGCCCGGTGTAGCCAGGCTCACAGGCAGTGCAGCGATATCCACTGCCTCCCAGACTCTCACACGTCTTGGAAAACCTGCAGGGACAGAGTGAGATGTGAGCATGTCCCTTCCCTGGCACCCCCAGCCCAGCACTCCCACCCTGGCACGGGCACCCACTGGTTTTCGGGGTACGGGAGGGGACAGGCGCAGGGCTGGCAGTCCTCAGGAGTCCCGGCGGTCGCATCCCCGTAGAAGCCGGGGGCACACTGGTCACAGAAGTCCCCTGCTGTGTTGTGCAAGCATCCCTGGGGGACAGGTGGGCACAAATTGGGGATGGTCACAGATGGGATCACACCACAGCCCCCAAAAGAGTTCAGAATGTGGGGCCTTACGGAGCAGGCGCCGGTCTCAGGGTGGCAGCTCTCGGAGTGGCCGTTGCACTCACACAGCTCACAGTGGCCCAGGTAGAGCCCCCCGCCGGTGCGTGTGTACCCGGGGGCACAGTCCTGTGGGAAGGGACAGCGCTGGGACCCCCAGAGCCTGGGCAAGTGGTGGGGAGGGGTGATGGAGAGGGCCAGGGGACAGATGGGTGATGATGGGGATGCTGGGSTCTGATTAAGAGTGAGGGGTGATATTGGGGATGCTGAAGGGGTGATGAGGGTGATGGAAGGTGATGGGGGTGACATTTGGGATGGCAGGGGGGACACTGGGTATGCTGAAGGGTGATGAGCGGGGCAACTGGGGGACAGATGAATGATGGGGATGCTGGGGGGGTTGATGGAGGGTGGTAGAGGGTGATACTGGGGGTTGTATGGGGTGATGCTGGGGATGACGGGGAGGATGATGTGGGGTCAGGGGAGGGTGATGATGGGGTGTAATATGGGGGCTGATGGGGGAGTGATGGAGGATGCTGAGGGTGATGCTGGGGGCTGATGGGCAATGATGGAACTGCTGGTGATGATCATGCTATGGTGATGGAGGCATGATGGGGTGATGGAGGGGATAACTGGGGTGATGGGGAAGTGCTGGGGGTGATGGAGGGTTATGAGGTGGGGAGGATGGAGAGGTGATGCGGGTGAGTCTGAGGGGGTGATGATGGATTTGATAGGATGATGAGATAATGGAGGGGTGATGATGGGGGGATGATGGAATGATGGGGGGCATGATGGGGGCAATGATGGAAGGAGCGATGGGGGTGATGGAAGGTCATACTGGGGATGGGGGGGATACTGGAGTGGAGGTGGGGAGGTGATGGGGTGACTCTGGGAGGGGCAATGAGGTGAGACTGGGCTCACCTGGCAGGACAGCCCGTGGTACCCGGGGGGACAGCGACATTCCTCCACCTCAGGCGCCGGGGGCAGGCCGGGCTGGGCGGGCACGGCCGTGTCCATGGCCACATCGGCGATGGCAGCCACGGCTGTGCTCGTGGARTAGGTGGCTCGGATGAGGATCTCATCCAGATCTGCCAGTGCCATCAGCAGGTGCTCTCGTGTCGCCGGCTGCCCATCTGGACGCTGCCAGTATTGCTGTGGGAACAACGGGGGTTAAGGAGGGACATGCTGTGGAAAAGGGGGACAGCAGGGACTAAGGCCACCCACCACCTCCTACCTCCCGAAAAATGATCTCGAAGGCCTGTGGGGTTCGTGGGGGCAGGTCGGGCTGGTAGGCCACCAGCGTGATGTCATTGCCCTGTGCACAAGGGGGACGAGAGGGTCAGGGCATCCTGGAGTCACCTGCTGTGTCCTTGTCCCACCCCAGCCAGCACCCCCATACCGTGATCTGGACGTCAGCATCAGGCAAGGGGGCTCCCTGTCCCCCTGGGGTGTAGGTCAGGGTGTAGCGGAGCCGACCACCATAGGAGCCCACCTGCACCGGGAGATGGGCAGGATTGGGATGGGATGGGATGGGCACAGGGAAGAGGATGGGCATGATGGGGACAGGGATGGGGATGGGGAAGATGATGAGATGAAACAGGGATGAGGAAAAGGAGAGGGATGGGAAAAAGATAAGGGGAAAGTGGAAGGGGAAAGGGAAAGGGGAAAGGGGAAACGGGAAGAAAAAGGATAGGGATGAAGAAGAGGATGGGGAGGGGATGGAAGGGAAGTGGAGGGGATGGGATGGGGAAAGAAGAGGAAGAAGAGGAAGAAGAGTGGGGATGATGATTGGGACATGGGATGGCACAGGACAGGGATAAGAAAATTATGGGAAAAGGGGAAAAGAGAAAGGAGAAAGGGCAAAGAGGAAAAAGACAAGGTGAAAGGAGGAAAGGGGAAAAGGGGAAAAGAGGAAAAAGGGAAGGGAAAGGGGGAAATGCCAAGGGGGAAAGGGAAAAGGGAGAAGAAAAAAGAAAAGGGCAAAGACAGAGACCCCATCTCTGCCAGTGCCCAGGGATGCCCATGGGGAGGGGGTGCAGCCCCTGGCTGAGCATTCCCAGGGCTCACAAGGGCACCCCWGCYCTCCAGGGCATCACCCCGTTACCTTGTCCCCCTGGTAGGGGGGTGGCAGCTGCCAGTAGTAGGAATCAGGGGGCAGCTCCCCGAAGCGCTCGTAGGTCAGGTGGGGCTGGGAGTGCCCCAGCTGCACCCCAAAGCCGCTGCCCACGCGGGTGCTGCGCTGCCGGTTCACCAGGGTGAACCCCTGGGCATCCCCCAGGGTGAAGGACGTTCGGATCTGCAGGATCAAGGGGTAAGCAGGATGGGGGACACCTGGGGACACCCTGGGGACACGTGGGGACACAGGGGACACTCACGGTGCCACGGGCGTAGGTGGTGCTGGTGCAGTGCTGGACAATGCCCATGCAGAAGCAAGGCAGGCACCCAGCCAGCTCGTCCCTGCTCAGGTGGAAGTGATGGGGACGGCATGTGGCACAGTAGGGACCCTCCACGTTGGCCTGGTGGGGACACAGCATGGTGACATCTCCTGTCACCCCTCCCAGAGGGGGGGACACACACAGGGCTCACACAGGGCTCACCTTGCAGCGGCACTGCCCGTTGGCATCACAGCCCTCGCCGATGCTGCCACGTGGGTCACACTGGCACTGCCCGCCGGGGACACCAGGCACTGAGGAGTGACACACAGTCATGCACAACCCACGTAGTGCCACCACAGGGGACCCTTATTCGTCCCTGCCCCATGACTCTCACCTCGGCACGGCTCTCCCCGCAGCGGGTCCCCCACATACCCAGGCRAGCACCTATGGGAGGGACACCCCAAAACGAGACAGTGAGAGGGGGATTCACCCCAAGAACAGTTCCCACTGCACCCTGGTGTCCCTGTCACCTCTCACAAAGGCGCCCACTGTGTCCCGGGGCACAGGTACTGCATGTGGGCTGCCCGTCTGTATCCTCAAAGCAGATCTTTTTCAGCCTGTAGGGGGGACAAAGGGACAGGTGACACCTTGTCAGTGTCCTCATCCTCAGGGATGTGACAGACCATGGAATGGCACCTACTGGGTGTCCCCATGGGGTCCGTGGCAGGGACAGGGCCGGCAGTCGCCTGGGGTACCCTGGGTGGCATCACCGTAGTAGCCGGGTTGACACTTGTCACACTGGGGACCCTCGGTGTGATCTCGGCAGCCCTGTAAAGAAAGAGGGTGATGCCATAGTTATCTCTGCCATGGGGGTCCCCAGCGTGTCCCCTTGCTGTCCCCAGCATGTCCCCTTGCTGTCCCCAGCTGACCTGGCAGACGCCAGTGTCAGGGTGGCATTCGCTGGCATGACCATGGCACTGGCACGGCTCACAGGTGCCCAGGTAGAGCCCAGAAGTGCTGCGGGTGTAGCCGGTGTCACAGTCCTAGAGGGGACACAGTGGCAGTGAGGTGGGACACGGCTCAATGTCCCCATGGTGGCAGTGAGGGGACCCGAGGGTCTCACCTGGCACGAGGCCCCGCGGTACCCAGGGGGACAGGCGCAATCCTCCACCTCCAGCGCGGGCGGGCGACCAGTGGCATGTGGCACTGCCACRTCCAGGGTGACATCAGCCAGTCTGCAGGGCCAGAGGGGTCGTCACTGCTGCCTTGYCACCCCTCTGTGCCCCCTCCTGACACCGCAAGGAACCCACCTGCTCTCCTCTGGCTGCTCCGAGTAGGACGCCCGGATCATGAACAGGTCCACATCGGCCAGGGCCATCAGGAGGTGCTCRCGGGTGGCATCTCGCCCGTCCGCGCGGCGCCAGGCGCCCTGTGCCACACCAGGGTGACGTGGGGGCTCCCATCCTGCACTGCACCTAGCCCAGCCCCCGGGGCACCCACTCTGACCCCCCTTTGGGAAGCACTGCAACCCTCTGGAGCACCCAGTTCAACCCTGTTCGGCACCCATCCAACCYCCACAATGCCCAGTCTGATCCATGGGCACCCAATTCCCACCCCCATGGCACCCATGACACCAATTCCAATACCCCAGTCCCCAGTCTGACCCCTGGAGCCCCCATAGCACCCAGTTCAAATCCCCAGTCCAAACCCCCAGAGCACCCAGTCTGACCCCTGGGACCCCCAGATCAAACCGTCCCTAGCACCCACTCTGACCCCCTCCCTCCATAACCCCTCTTGCTGGGGACCCTTCTCACCTCACGGATGGGCACAGTGACAGYGGTGGGGACACCGGCCAGGGGAGTGGCGCTGGAGAAGTGCTCCAGGAGGATGCCATTACCCTGGAGCAGGACATCAGGGTGCCGGGGGGCTGGGGGAGCACCTGCTGGGGCCTGCTGTGTCACTGTGTACCGCAGCTCCCCGCCATAYGCTGTCACCTGTGGGGACACTCAGCATGGCTTGGGGTCACCCACCCCCTGAGCTGGGCAGTGGGGACACATAGAGGCACAGAGGTGTCCTCTGGAAGGGCTGTGTCACCTTGTCCCCGGCAAACGCTGCAGGCAGCACCCAGTAGTACACCCCCCGTGGCAGCTCCCAGAAGGCATTGAAGCGCAGCTCCCGTGGGGACACGAAGTGTGGCACAGCCCCCGCCAGCCGTGTGCCTGACAGGTTGGCCAGGGGCTGCGGCGCCGAGTCCTCAGAGCTGAGCAGCACCTGGGGAGGGAATCATGGTGGGCACGGCCTGGCCTGGCATGGCATGGCATTACATGGCACAGCATGGCAATCCATGGTGCATAATGGCGTATCATGGCATGACAAAGCATGACAAGGCACCACGTGGCGTATCATGGCAAGGCATCACACGGTACGGATGACACCACATTATGGCATGGCATGGCAGAACATGGAGCTGTATGGCATTACATGGCATGGCACACTGTAACACAACATATAATGCAATGACATAGTAACACATCATGACACAGTGCATGGCATGGCATGGCACCACATGACATGACATGATGTATAATGGCACATCACTGAATGACACAGAAAGACCTGGAAACACATGGCACAACATGGCAAGGCACAACGTGGCACTAATGCAAGCCATGGAATGACACGTCAAGACAATGACAAGACATGGCATGACACGGTATGGGATGGCACCGCCTGTCCTGGCCCGTCTGGTGCCACGGGGTACCTGGTGGCGGTGCCAGGCAGAGCTGGCACAGGAGCGGGACAGTCCCATGCAGAAGCAGGGCAGGCAGCCCGCGGGGTTGGCCGCGCTCAGGTGGAAGGTGCCGGCGGCGCACGAGTCGCAGAGACGGCCACGGACATTGGGCTGGAGACACAGGGGACAGGGTCAGCGGGGAAATGGGTAGGACTGGGTGCAGAGGGTGGGATGGATGCTGGGGGGATTGGTGGGACTGGGTGCTCCAGGGAGCAGACTGGAGTGATGTGGGGGATTGGAGAGGGTCCTGCTGGGAGCTGGACTGGGTGCCATGGGGCGGAGGGTGGGATCGATGCTGGGGGSATTGAACTGGGTACCTGGGGGCTGGGACTGGGTGCCTCAGGGGATCTGACTGGGGAAGTGAACTGGGTGCTCTGGGGCAGAGGGGTGCTAGGGCAGGGACTGAGTACCTGGGACCRGACGTGCAGAGGATGACAGCAGCACCCAACCCTCCTCATTGACCCCCCACTGTCCCCCTACTGCCCCCCAATATTCCCCCATTGTCCCCCCAGCCCCCTGCCCTCACCTTGCAGCGACAAATGCCACCTGCGTCGTTCTGGCCCCCGCGRGCATCACACTTCACGAGCTCCTGGCCTGCAGGCAGTGAAGGTGAGGGTGGGGGCAGCCACAGGTTGGGGACACCCCCAATCAGCACCCCCCACTCACCGATCGGGGTGCACTTGCCACCTGGCTGGATGGGGTCTCCCTCATAGCCTGGGGCACACCTATGGATGGGTGGGGAACAGGTGAGGGACAGGTGGGTGACAGATGGGGTGTCTCAGGGCCAAGAGGGACTCCCCACCCACCTCTCGCAGCGGCGGCCGGCATATCCAGGGGCACAGGCATCGCAGGTGGCCTGGCCATCTGTGTCCAAAAAGCATGACTCCGAGAACCTGCGGGTGACAATAACAGTGACGCCAGGATGGAGACATTGGGGGRTGATCCCTGGGGTTGGTACCCACCTGCGGGATGGCTCAGTGTAGGGACAGGGACAAGGGTGACAGGCGGTGGCTGTGCCCTTGGTGGCATCGCCGAAGAAGCCAGGTTTGCACTTYTCGCACTGGGGACCCTCTGTGTTGTGCAGGCAGTTCTGGGAGGGGGACACATGTCACATGGGAGTGGTGACACCACGCTGTGTCCCTGTCCCCTTGTCACCTMAACAGTCCCTCACTCCTTACCAGGCAGTGCCCAAAAACGGGGTCACAGGTGCTGGAGTGGCCATGGCAGCCRCAACCGGAGCAGGTCCCCAGGTAGGGTCCCCTCGTCACCCGTTCAAAACGGGGGGCACAGCGCTGGCACGACAGCCCCATGTAACCCACAGGGCACCTGGGGACACAACAGTATGATGGTGGCAGCACAGCAGTGGTGGCACCAAACCCACAACCTTGCTGCCAGTGGTCACCTGCACTCCTCGACGTCACCAGCTGGCCCCAGGCCGGTGTCCGCAGTGCTGGTGATGTCCATGGCCACGTCACTGAGCCCCACGCTGGCCATGCGCCCRTCGTACACCGCCCGGATGAAGATGCCCTCCAGCCCCTGCAGCACCAGCAGCAGCAGCTCCCGGCTCACTGGGGCACCCTGCTCGTCCTCCCAATGGTCCTGTCAGGACAGCGACAGTGGTGTCACAGCAGGGTAATGGTAATGCTGGCATCAACCACCTGCCACCACCGGTACCACCCCACCTGCCACCACCAGCATCAGTGCCCATCATCAGCATCATCGCTTCTGGCATCACCCACCCACTACTGGTATCTCCTTCCCATCACTGGAGTCACCCACCTGCCACCACGTCACCCACCCATCTCCAGCATCACCCACCCACCAGTACAACCAGTGTCACCCACCCATCTCCAGCATCACCCACCCACCAGTACAACCAGTGTCACCCACCCATCTCCAGCATCACCCACCCACTACCTGCATCACCCATTATCATTGGTATAATCTACCTGCCACCACCATCACCACCCATCCGTCACCAGCATCACTCATCCATCATCACTGGTATCACCCCCCACCATCACCACTGCCACCACCATCACCATTCCTTCTCACACCCACCTCAGTGAGGGGCACGTGCCGCTGGTTGAGGACATCTGGCTGGGTGTCACCAGCACGYGCCCGCAGCTGCCGCCCATGGCCCCACAGCAGCAGGTCAGGATGGGCAGTGGGCTCAGGGGGCCCCCGGCCCAGACGGTACCGCACCCCATAGCTCAGCGCTCCCCCGTAGGCATCCACCTGGCAGCACAACAGGATGTCAGCAGCTGTGCCGCTGGTGTCCCCAGCCCTGACCCCACCCCGGCATCACCTTGTCCCCAAGGAAGGGCTCTGGCAGTGCCCAGAACGCGTCAAGTGCCAGGAAGCGGCGGGACAAATCCAGGAGCTGAAATTCCTCAACGCCTGCATCTATGTGGAGCTGGGTGGCCGAGAGCACGGGCGCAGACGGCGCTGCTGGCACCGTCACATTGACACCTGCAAGGAAACACTCAGCCCCTGATGTGTCCCCTGCCCCTTGTCCCCAACAGCGCCGCTGGCACCGTCACAATGACACCTGCAAAGAAACACTCAGCCCCTGATGTGTCCCCTGCCCCTTGTCCCCAACAGCGCCGCTGGCACCGTCACAATGACACCTGCAAAGAAACACTCAGCCCCTGATGTGTCCCCTGCCCCCTGTCCCTTGTCCCCACAGCTCACCCTTGAAGTCATTGGGGCGGTTGAAGCGCAGGTGGAGGCGGTGCCGATGGCGGGCGGTGGCGCGGCAGGAGGTGGTGACACCGAAGCAGAAGCAAGGCAGGCAGCGGGATGTCCCTGTCACCTGGAAGTGGCCCTCGGGACACGGCCCTGTGGGATATGAGATAGTGAGTGACAGTGACATTACCATGGTGGGATTGGTGGCATGGGGAGGGGAGCGGAGGGGATGCTTACCTGGGCGGGTGACGGTGAGGATACTATCAGGGATGCCGAACACCATGCCCAGGGTGTTGATGGCCTCGCAGGTGTAGGCGCCTTGATCAGCTTCTTTCACGTCCCGGATGGTCAGGGTGCCCTGCCCAGCCTCGCTCACAATCGACACCCTGTGTGGCACACTTGGTACCCAAATCCCAGCACAGATGGAGCCCGGCACACCCTGAGCCACACACACTGTTCCCAGCACACACAGTGGCTGGCACACCTGGTGCTCTGCACACCCAGTAAACCAATGCACCACACATCTGGCACCCAGTGCCCAGCTCACCCAGTGCCCAGCCCCTGCACAGGAGCCCATTCCCTCCGCATGAACTACTTAAACCCAGGCCCCGCCCCTCAGCACAAGCTCCTCCCATTGCATAAGCTCCTTCCACCATGGATCCGTTTGCTCCGCCCACTCTATCAAACCCGGTCCCTAAGCCCCGCCCCTCACACCCTACACACAAACCTCACCCCGTGGAAGCCCCCCCATCACCGCATCGTCCTGCTACAAGCTCCTCCCACTGCAGCAAGCCCCGCCCCCAATCCCCACCTTGAACCACTTTTGCCCTAAACACAGACCCCGCCCCCACAGTTCTCGCCCAAATAAAGCTCCGCCCATCTCAGGCTACACCCAATCACAAGTTCCTCCCCAAGAGCAAGCCACGCCCCTTCCYCCACCCCTCCAATCCACAACCAACATCGCTGAGGCCCCGCCCACCTGTGGCTGCTGGGGGTGTGTCCCCAGTTGAGGCGCCAAGTAACGATGGGGGTGGGGACACCAGTGGCTACACAAGTGAAGGTGACGGTCTGGCCTGGCACTGCCCGCACCGACTCCCGCGGCAGCGTCACCACCTGTGGGGGCACTGCCACCAACACCCACTGGTCATTGCCACTGCCACCAACATCCACTGGTCATTGCCACTGCCACCTACACCCATTGGTCATTGCCACTGCCACCTACACCACGTGCACAATGCAGCACCCCCAGGGACAGGCACACTGCCACCATCACCCTATCATTGACACCACAACTACCATTGGCACAGCCAACACCAACCCCMGGCATAGAAGACATTGCCACTACCACTGCCACTACCTGCCCTGCCAGGCACCTAGGGAACTGGGACACTGCCACTGCCACCCTGTCATTGTCACCACCACTGGTACCACCTGCTCTGCATGGCAACACTGAGGGGTGGGGACACTCTGCCACTGCTACCCCAGACCCACCCAGAGACAGGTTCATTGGCACCATGTCTCCAGTCCAGCCTGGGGACAGGGTCCCCAGTGTGATACCCAGTCTGGTTCTGTGATGTGTCCCCAGCGTGGCACCATTTGGGGGCAAGCTCCCAGCACAGGGTCCCCAGCCTGGTGTGTTGGCTCAGGCTTCCCAGTGTGGCACTGCTTGGGGACAGGGTCCCCAGTGTGACAGTCAGCACAGTGCCACAGCACAGGGACACAGACACTGTCCCTAGAATGGTCCTGTGGTGCAAGATCCCTGGCACAGCTCGGGCACACAGTCCCCAGCCCAGTGCTGTCACAGAGCACCTGGGCACAATGTCCCCAATAYGGTGCCATGGCACAGGGTCCCTGGGTGCAGTGTCCCCTGCCGAGTGCCACRGCACAATATCCCCAGGCACAGTGACACCAGCCTGGTACCATGACACAATGTCCCCAGCCCAGTGCCATGGCACAAGGCCCCCAGACAGTGTTCCCAGCCTGGTGCCACAGCAAAGGGCCCCTGGCACAGCTCAGGCACAGAGTCCCCAGCCCTGTATCCCCAGGACAGCTTGGGCACAGCATCCTCATCCCAGCACCACAGCACCACGTGCCCCCACAGTTTGCACACAGCATCCCCAGCCCAGCTTGGACCCCATGTCCCCTCCCGTACCGAGCTGTCCCCTCTGGTGTCACTTACCACATCCAACCTCGTCGCTGCGGTCRGGACAGTCGGGCTCCCTGTCGCACTGGTAGCTGGCACGGATGCAGGTCCCGCTGGACACACACCGGAACTCTGCTGGTCCRCACGCCGCGCCGGGCGCCTTGGTGGCTGCAGGGAGGTCACAGTGCCACGAGTCAGCTGTGTCCCCGCATCCCTGCGCGTGTCCCTGTGTCACCATACTCACGGCAGTCGCTCTCGTCAGAGCCRTCGCCGCAGTCGTTCTCGCCGTCGCAGCGCCAGAGCTTGAGGGCACAGTGCCCATTGTCACACTTGAACTCATTGGGCTCGCAGGGGGACGGGGTGCCTGGGGGGCATGGAGGAAGTCAAAACCCAGAATCCCAGAATCAGTCAGGCTGGAAAAGACCTTTGAGACCATCGAGTCCAATCTGTGACCCGTCACCACATTGTCACCCACACCATGGCACTGAGTGCCACATCCAGGCTTTCCTTAACACTTCCAGGAGTGGTGACTCCACYGCCTCCCTGGGCAGGCCCTTACAACACCCAGTCACCCCTTCTGTGAAAAACTTCTTCCTAATGTACAGCCTAAACCTCTCCTGGCACACCTTGAGTTTGTGTCCTCTCATTCTGTCCCTTGYTCCCTGGGAGYAGAGCTCAACCCCCTCCTGTCAGGGAGTTGTAGTGTGATAAGGTCCCTCCTGAGCCTCCGTTTCTCCAGGCTGAACCCCACCAGCTCCCTCAGCTGCTCTTCACAGGACTTGTTTCAGACCCTTCACCAGCCTTGTTGCCCTTCTCAGGATATGCTCCAGCACCCCAACAATATTCCTAAATTTGGGGGCCCACTACTGGACACAGTATTCGAGGTGTGGCCTCACCAGTGCCRAGTACAGGGGAAGAATCCCCTCTCTGGTCCTGCTGGCCACACTATTCCAGGCCAGGTGCCATTGGCCTTCTTGGCCACCCAGACACAGCTGGCTCGTGCCCCCAGGTCCCTTTCTGCCAGGCCGCTGTTCAGCCACTCTGTCCCCAGACTTTGGCACTGTCATAGCCAAAGTGCAGGACCTGGCCCTTGGTCTTGTTAAACCTCATATCCCTGATTTGGCCCCTGGGTCCAGCCTGTCCAGGTCCCTCTGCAGAGCCCTCCTACGCTCCAGCAGATCCACACTTGCACCCAGCTTGGCATGGATCTCAATCCCCTCATCCAGATCATCCTGTGCAATAAAGACATTGAACAGGAACCAACACTGATCCCTAGGAGTCCCTGGTGATCAGACAGYGACTGGACACAGCAYMATCTYCCAGCACTCTCTGGGCCCAGCCATCAGCCAGTTCCTCCACCAGCAAAGCCATGGGCAGCCAGCTTCTCCAGGAGTTTGCCATGGGAGATGATGCCCAAGGCTTTGCTGAAGTGCAGGTAGAACCACCCAAGCCATCGTCATCGCCCAAGACTCACCGCAGGCATCCTCGTCGGAGCCGTCGGCGCAGTCGCGCTCTCCGTCGCACAGGTAATCGCGGGGGATGCAGCGCCCGTCCCTGCAGGCAGCCTCGCCCCCCTGGCACCCCCTGGCCCCTGGTCTCGGGGGGCGCGGGGTGAAGCCGTGCCGGTGGGGTGACGGGGTGGTGCCCGCAGGGACGGTGCTCAGCGGGCGCACGGTGCCAGGGCGGGCGGTGCTGGGGGGCAGCCGCGGCGGGGCCTCTGGGGAGAGATAAAACGGGGTTTAGGGTGGAATTTGGGGGGAAATGGGGGTGAAGAGGTAAGGGTTGGGGGGCTTGGGGGGAGAGGTGCAAGGGCGGTTTATGGGGTGGTGTATGGGTAAAATGGGGTACAGAGAGGTTATAGGGGAAAAAAGGGGTGTGAGGAGTGTTTATGGGGGTATAGGAATAAAATAAGGGTGCAGGGGCTTTTAAGTGAGAAAYGGGGATGCAGAAGAATATAGAGGGRCAAAATAGGGGTCCAGTGGGGTATACAGGAGTATACAGGGGAAAAGGGAGTGTGGGAAGTGTTTATGGAGTGTAGTGGGGCCCCGGGGCAATGATAATGTAGTGGAGCATAGGGGATGTAGGGGAAAAGGGGTTGTAGGGCGCAGGGGGATTGAAGGGGAAAGTGGAGGTGGGGGGAAGAGTATAGGAGGGTTATAGTCAGGAAAAAGGGTGCAGAGGGGGAGTGACAGGGCCAKGGGGTGGGGAACGAGGCACAGAGGGGATGTGGGGGGCACAGGAGGTTCCAGGGGTGCCGRGCTGCCTCACCACATCCCTCCTCGTCGGAGGCATCGCGGCAGTCGGGCCGGCGGTCGCAGCGATATTCCATGGCCACGCACTCCCCGCTGGCACAGGAAAACTCCCCCACAGTGCAGGGGCGCGGCTGGGGGATCACTGTGGCCAGGGAGTAGACACACGGTCAGGGGGTCACCCCAAAACACCCCCCCCGAATTTGGCCAGGGGTCAACACGTGCCAGGAGGCACTGTTGACCTCTATGGGGGCATAGCAGAGTAACACAGGTTGGGATGTGGTGCTCTGAACCCCCCGCCCCAAACCACCCCAGAGCACCCCAAACCCCACTCAGGCACCCCCCAAAACCCCTCGTGGGCTCACCRGCTCCCAGGCGGCGGAACTGGAAGCCGTGGGGGGAGGTGAGGTAGGAGGCGATGGAGCCRCCGGCCAGCAGGTCCCGCAGGACCCCCCCGAGCTGCTCCTCATCCGCGTTCCCCTCCGAGCCCACGTCCAGCTCCACGAACACATCCCCGTCCAGCTGCCTGAGGGACGAGGGGTGAGCACCCCAAAATAGCCACGCTGCACCCCCAAACCAGCCCTGAGTCCCCCAAGCATTGTAAACATTGCATCCCAAAACATCCAAATCACCTCCAATCTGCCCCATCACCTCCAAACCTCTCCATCATCCTCAAAACCTCCCTGCACTCCCAAACGCTCCTTATTGCAYCCCAAAACTTCCACATTGCACCCCAAAATATCCCCAGCTGACCCCTTGCTCCCCTCATCCTCCAAGAGTCCCCCCAAAACCCTCTAAGACCAGCAAGCCCCTGACTCACTTGATGAAGACGACATTGACCACTTGGTCCCCTGGCACTTTGTAATATTCTGACTCCAGCTGTTGGGGGACAGAAAATGGGGGGTCAGGGTGGTCCCTTGGGTGTCCTCCACCCCCYCAATTGCCCCCAGTCCTCACCGTATCCACCACGGCCTCAGAAATCTCCCGAAATTCCTCAGAATCGGGGTCCTCCAGCCGCGAGCTGTAGTCGATGCTGTGGGTGAAGTTCACCAGCGCCCGGAAATAAACTGGGGGGTGGGGTTGTCAAAAATTGGGGGATGGGTGGCACCTGCACCCCTAAAATCTCCCTCACCCACCTGTGAACCCTGTCCAGATGTTCCCCCCACCCTCCAGCTGTGTCCCCCCCAGTGTTGGAGATCCCACCCAATAAAGCACAGGAGAAAGAAAAGTGGGGATGCAGCAAAGGGGAGGTCCCCAAAAAGTGTCACTTACTGATCGGGGGGTCGTCCTCAGGCTCAGCCACCACCATGCCCGCAGGCGCGGGGCGGGGCCGGGGCACTGCCCCCGGGGAGGAGGAGGAGGAGGAGGAAGAGGAGGAGGATGAAGAGCAGACAGAGGTTGAGAGCAGTGCCAGTGGGGACCAGCCCGGAGCCGGGTGCCATGCACAGTGTCCCCTTACCAGTGGGTGCCAGCCCGCTGCCGGGAGCCGGGGTCACGACTGCCGGTGGCCAGGGGACACCACTGCCATCCTCCCCGCTGCCATCTGCCGTGGGCACAACGTGAGAGTGGCACCCACCCACGGGGACACCCACATGAGCGAACACACCCCCAAGGTGACAAACACCCATGGTGGCAGCCAGTGCCACAGTTGCCACCAGATGCCACCAGGTCCCAGTGCTGTCCACGACAGGGACAATGTGGTGGCACCAGGGGGGCACCCACACATACAACACACCCCCACCGTGACACACCCCCATGGTGGCAACCACCTAGTGACATCTTACTGCCAGATGCCATCAGATCCTGTTGCCACCTTCCCTGGGGCAACACGAGAGCACTCAGGGTGGAATCTACCCATGGTGACATCCATTCAYGGTGACATTCACCCAGGGTGATGGTCACCCACTCACTGTCACCCTGCCACCAGCTGCAACCAAATCCTGGTGGCATCTGTGATGGGGACAGCTCACAGTGACATCCACCCACTCAGTGCCATCTTATCACCGGATGCCACCAGGTCCCAGTGCCATCTGAGATGGGGACAGTGCAAATGGCACTCAGGGTGACACCCACTCTTGGTGACACCCACACAGGGTGACACCCACTCTTGGTGCCACCAAGTTCTAGTGCCACCTGCAATGGTGAGTGGCACCCATGGTGGCACCAACTGATGGTAACACCCCCCCTCAGTGACACCCATGCATGTCACACCCACTCATGGTGACATCCAGCTACAGTGACTCCCACCCCACCCCTGGTGGCACCCAGTGCACACTGGCACTAGACAGCACAAAGTCCTGTCTGCATGGGGACAGTGCAAGTGGCATCCACCTGTGCTGGTACCCACTTATGGTGACATCCACTCAAGGTGTCTTTTTCCCACCCAGCACCACTTTACCAGGTCCTGGTGCTATCTGCTATGGCCACAATGTAGTGGCACCAAAGTGGCACCCACTCAYGGGACACCAACCCATGGTGACACCCATTCAGGGTGACAACTACCCCTGGTGGCACCAACCCACTCAGTGCCACCTTACCACCAGGTCCCAGTGCCATCTGCAATGGGGACTGTGCAAACGGCACCCAGGGTGGCATCAGGACCCACCCACCCTCTTGCCCCCGAGGTCCCCTCACCTCCGGAGGCCACCAGGTCCTCGTCATCTGACAGGTGCCGGTAGTAGCGCCGTCCCTGCGTGTCCCCAACGTGATCGGCCACCGTGTCCTCGGGGAAGGCGTCGGCCCAGCCACGGGCGCTGCCAGTGACCTGGGGGACGAGGCCACCATGGGACACGGCCCCGCGGGTGCCTGGCCAGGTCACCCTGCGGCGGGGGATGGGGGTGCGTGGTTGTGCAGTGGCGTCACCGGGAAGAGGGAGCGGGATGAGCTCATCACACACCCCCTGCATTCCTGCACCGACCAGCACCAGGACCGGGACACGCGGCACCGGGACGGGCGTGTGCGGGCACGGGGGCGTGTGCCAGGGTGCCRCAGTGGGCACACATGTCTGCAGTGACATGGGAAGTGTGTGCACACGTTTACACTGCTCCACATGTGCACTAGCACGAGGATGGGCSTGCTCAGTGACACAGAGACACACGTGTGCACTCTCACGCGGGAACCGACATGGGGACGTGTGTGCACGTGGATTTGCATCGCRATGTGTACGCACGGACGTGGGGACACCCGTCCACGGTGACACCTGGCTGTGCACACGTCTGCACCAATGCATGTGTGTGCACTGTATTGCACACACACCGTGGCAGTCGCCAACAGGTGACGGTGCACACGCACTGGCACCACCACATCCGCCCCGGGACACACGCGTGTGCCCAGCTGGGTGTGCCCCTGTGCCCACAGGTCCTTGCACACGCGTGTGCGGCGCCGCGAGTGCCCCAGCCCCGGCCCCGGCAGGAATCCGTCGCAGCAGCATTTTGCTGTGCAAACAAGAGCCGGGGGATTAAGCGGCCGCTGGGGGGGACGGGACACGGGGGGAACACGGGGAGACGAGGGGGGCACAGAGGGGGCACAGAGGGGGGCACGCGGGACACGCAGCCATGCTCCCATGCAGATGGGGGGACCCAGCACCCCGAGGTGTCTGGCTGGGAGGTGTCAACCCCAGCCCCCGAGCAGGGGGAAACTGAGGCACGAGGCCATGTGTGCCGGGGGGGGCCCTCTGCTGCTCCCCACACKCGCACCGAGTGTGTGAGTGCGCGGTGTGGGAGCACAGCCACCAGAGCATGCGGGTGGTCTGCCACTGTCCCCACATATTTGGGTGCTCACATTTGTGTCCCCACATCCCCACACACTCGGTGAATGTGATGGGTCTCCGCCACCATGTCCCCCACTCGTGCATCGAGCCCGTCGGTGCTCAGCCCCGGCGGCGCAGCCCCAGCCCGGCCGGCGCGAAGGAAGTCCGGAGGTGTCTGAGCAGGGTCGGGGACAATCCCCTCTCCGGTTACCGGAAGCCTCTCCGCGCCGCGGCCCCGCACCCCCGGACGCCTGGCCCCCCCCCCGGACACCCGGGGCCCCCTCGCCGCCGCCGGGGCACCGCGCCCGGCCGGACGCCACGGCCCCGCCACCGCTCACATTTTCCACTCCCCGGCCCAAATCCTGCCCCGCACCCTGGGGAAAAGCGGGGAAAGGGGGGGGGAGAAGCCGAGGAAGAGGAGGGTGAGGAAGCACCACCCTGGACACCTCCCGCTCCCAAACTGCACCCCAGATTGGGGGGACACCTCAACCCCCCCTTATTTGGGTGACCCTCGCCCAATTCGGATGTCCCCCCCACTCCCAGTTTGGATGTTTCCCACCAAAATCTRGATGTTGCTCCTCAAATCTTAAAGTGACCCCCAAATCTGGATGTGACCCCCTCCCCCCTCCGCTAATTCATCCGGGCGAGGAAGAGGAGGTGACGCAGCACAGGAATAATAACCGGGGGGGTTATTAATAGTCATCCCCCCCGGCTTATTGTTCCCCCAAGGCCATGTTAAAAGGTGTTTCCCCCCCCAAAAAAAATCCACTTCCCCGCTCCCGGGAGTCCCCTGCTAGGACTGAGCCCCGCTAGTTTGGGGGGCGGAGGTCACCCCAGGATTTGGGGGGTACTGCCAGCACAGCTGGCCAGATGCTGCTCCCGGGGGCACAGGCAGCTGCTTCCCCCCCTCCCCACTGCCGCCCCCGGGATTTGGGGGTGAAACAGCTGCGGGGTCAAAGCCACAGCGGGGGAGGCCGGGGGGGCCCCAAATATGTGCCTGCCCCCCCCGCTGCATTCCTCCCTGCTGGCATTGCCTAATTTATCCTGAAAGGACTTGGCCTGGGGGGGCCGTTCTGGGCTTTTTCGGGGTAAATGGCTTTTGGAGGGGAGATTTTTTTTTAAGGGGGGGGAGTCAATTGGGAAGCGTGATTTTTTGCGGGGAGATTAATTGGGAGGGGTGATCGAGTTTTTTGTAAGAGAGATGGGTTTTTGGGACTGGAGATGAGTTGGGGGGATTGACAGGTTTTGGGGGGGAAATGGATTTTTGGGGCAAGGGATATGGTTTTTTGAGGGGATAGACGGGTTGGGGGGCATATGGACATAGGGGTGGGAGATGGGGCTTTTTTGGGAGGCAGGCAGAKTTTTTGAGGGGGATTGTTTTGGTGGAGTAGATTTTTTTGTGGGATAACAAGCCTTTTTAGGGGGGTGTCAGGTTTTGATGGCAAAARGAAGACTCAGGAGTCCTGGCAAGTRCCCAGCGTCTGAGCTGACCTTCTTCTCCCCTTCCTCCTCCTCCTCCTCATCCCAGCCGGGCCATCTTTGGCGATGGGAAAGAGCCGAAGGCRAGAGGCCATGTGCGCTGGGGGCCCGGCGGGTCCCGAGTGCTCCCGAGTGTCCCCAGGTGTCCCTAAATAGCCCCAAGTGCCCCCAGGGGTTACACGAGCCCGCCCCAGCAGCCCGGGGCCTTGGCCGTGCCCCCTCCCCACGCGTGCCCGAACACACGAGTGTGCAAGAGTGTGCGTGGGGTGTCCCCCCACCTTTCCCCACCCCTTGCCCCCGGGCAGGGTGATCTTATCGCACATTCCTGCTTCGAGCTCCCCTTCCCCCCCCAAATTAACCCTTCACAGTCCTTTGGGGAGGCACTCTCCTCCCCCACCCCACGCCAAATACCCCCGTAGGGTGCGTGGAGCTTCCCCGCCGTGTTTGTAGGGGGGATATACGGCCCCACGTCCCGGCGAGAGGGGGTATTGGGGTGCCCGATCCCCAAATCCCTCCCTGTGTCTCAGCACAATGGGGGGTAGGGGATTGTAAAGCGGGGATCCCCTCCCTCGGTCCCGGCCAGCCCCCCCGGACGTGGGTGGGAGCCACAGGGAAAGGGGGGCCCGCACTGCCAGCATGGCCCCGAGCACAAGGCCCCCTCTGTTCTCCACTCCGGGCACCCGCCCAACCCCAAACCACCCCCCTGCCCCCCCCACCTCCCCATCACCCCCACACCCCACTCAGGGACCCCCCTGTAAATCGGGAATGCGCAGCCCCAGTGTGCAAGCCCCCCCTGCAACTCCCCGGGGAGGGCAGCCAGGGGTGTCACCCCCTACCCCACTGCCCCCAGTAGGGTGGGGACCCCCCCCAGGGGCACCCCCAGACGCAGCGCCCCCGCCGGGGGGTATTTTGGGACGGTTATTTTTAGGGTGACCGGCGCCACCATCACCCTTTAAATTTAGCTGGGGCGGGGGATGGGATAGCGGGTGTGGACGGGAATGGGGGAAGCACCTCAAAAGCATGATGAGCCCCCTATAGGGGATCCCCACCCATGACGGGGGGGGAGGGGCTGGACCACCATGGGTAGCTTTGTGAAGTGATGGGAACCATCCCCGCCCTGGGGTCACAGGGGATCCCAATYACCTGCAGGGATAGGGTGGGGTGATGGGGATCCCCCCGACTGGGGCCCCCCAAGCGGGGGTCATGGGGACCCCAGTTTCACGGGGGTACAGGGAGGGGTGACTCCCAGTCTATGGGGGACCTCAAGTTCCGCAGGGGACAGGCAGGGGGCCTCCACACACCCCATTCCCAGATGGGACAGGACATGGGGAGAAASACCCCATCTCTGCTCCAGGGGGACAAMCAATTCCCAGATGGGACAGGGTGGGCCTTGGGGTCCCCACGTGACACCAGTACAGGGAGGGACCCCCAGCCCCTTTGGGAGGAASGCAGGGTGCCAGGGACCCCGCGGTTTAGGGGGACACCCCAATCCCTTAAGGAATAGGGACCCCCACATCTCCTTGGTGTCCTGGGRGACCCCAATTCCCTGACAACCCTGGGATCACTGCACCCCCTCTGCACACGTGGAGGGAAACCCCAAYTCCCTGGGCGGCCAGAGCACAATGCTGGGGACCCCTGCACTGGGAGGGGAGCCCCGATTTCCTTCTGGCACAGCGTAACTCCCCCAACTCCTTTAGGGGACCCCAATTCCCACAATGGACCTCAAATCTGACAAAAAACACAAACAATATGGGGGAACCCAATTCCTACAAGGACCCTCAACTCCAGCAAGGGGTCCCAACTCCTCTAGGCSACCCCAGCTCCCTCAGGGGAGCCCAGCTCTATGGTACCCAAATTGGGGGCTCTGGAGTCCAGGGAGTGCCTGGTCCCCCCAAAATTCTGTGGGGACCCCAACTCCTTTAAGTGCCCCAAGTAAGGGCACTCTTACTTTAAGGGATCTCTTAAAGGGGATCACAACTTCTGTATGGAATTCCGGCTCCGGGGACCCCAGCTCCTGTAGGGGACCCCAACTCCTACAAGGAATTCCAGCTCCAGGGACCCCGCTTCTTTTCGGGGACTTCAGCTCCGGGCGTGGACTCCAACTCCTACAAGGGACCTCAAATCCTTTAAGAGACCCCAAAGTACGCAGGTGGAGATCCCAAGTCCCTTCAGGGATCCTAACTGCTTTAGAGGTCCCCAACTCCTTSGCGGGACCCCAACTCCGGGGCCCCCAACTCCTTTATGGACTTCCCAGCACGGCGGGGGGACCAAACCCCGCGCCCCCCCCGGCCCCACTCACCCCCAGAAGGGTCCCCAGCAGCAGGAGGGTCCCCAGCGGCCGCGGCCCCATCGCTGCTCCGGCCCCGCTCCGGCCCCGCCGCGATCGCTCCGCTCGCCCCGCTCCGGTGGCGCCGCCGCCCCGGGCCCGCCCCGCCCCCCCCGAGCCCCCCCGAACCGCAGGGCGGGGCCGCGGAACGGAGCCCTCGGGGGGCACCGGGGACACGGGGGGGGGGCAGCGGGGACAGGCGGGGACACCCGGGAACACCCCATAGGAGTTCTACAGGGACGCGATAAGGACGCGGGGAGGCTTCAACGGGGACACGTGGGGGCAGGGGGACAGCAGGGGACACCGCCGGGGACTTCCACTGGGACACGGGGACACGGCGGGGGTGTAGGGGCTGTGGGACACCCCTGGGAACTTCCACAGGCACACGAGCAGACCCGGGGAGAAACCCCTGGCAACGTTTGCAGGGACATGGGAGGGCACGGGGGACACGGGAAGGAGCAGGGACACSGTAGGACACTCCTGGGAGCTTGCACTGGGACCTGGGGGCATGGGGGACAGCCCTGGAAACTTTGGCAGGGACACGAGGGATACATGCGGGACGCAGGGACGCCGTGGGACACCTCTGGGATCTTGCACTGGGACACAGGGGAGATTCCTGGGAACGTTTACCGGGACACGGAGGGACACGGCAGGCAGCTCTGAGAATTTATAGTGGGACACGGGGTGTGTTTGGGGACATGGGGTGATAACCCTGGGAACGTTTGCAGGGACACCAGGAGGACACGAAAGTACACGCGGAGGTGCAGGGACACCATGGGACACCCCTGGGAACTTGCACTGGGACRCAGGGACACAGGGGACTCCCCTGAGAACTTTTACAGGGACATGGGGTGCTTGGGGACATCATGAAGTGCGTGTAAGAACTTTTACAGGGACACAGGGGGGATGTGTGGGGACATGGGGGTCACCTCTGGAAAGGGRGGGATGACACATGGGGACACTGGGGAATACCTGTAGGAGCTGTTATGGGGACATGGGGCACATGGTGACATGGAGTGACAGAAGGGTCACCTGTGGGAACTTTTACAAGGACATGAGAGTGCATGGGGACACCTTGGGACACCCTTGGGAACTTCTATGGGAACACGGGGGTCACCTCTGGGAACATTTACRGGGTCACAGGGGTGCGTGGAGACACCAGAGGGGCACAGGTGACTCCTGTGAGAATTTTCCGTGAGGGCTCAAGTGCGTGGGGACCGTGCAGCCCCCGAGCACGTGGGGAAGTTTGGAGGCCATGGGGGACATGGGAGTCCYTATAAACTCTGGGAGTTTATGGGGGCAGGGGGGCTACTGAGGATCAGGGGAGTTACAGAAGCTATGGGGCGGCATGGGGGGAGCTATGGGGGTGTCAGGGGTGTAGGATACTGTAACGGGGGACTATGGGGCACAAGGGGCGCTCAGGGGGCTTTGGAGGTGCCAGGGGTGAGGGGCTATAGGGACACTGAAGTTTATAAGGTCTATGGGGGGCACCAGGGACCTAAGATTGTATGGGGGGCTATGCGGGCACAGGGTTTTATAGGGGGGCTATCAGGCACCAGGTATACRGATGTTATGGGGGGCTGTGGGAGCACAGGGGTCTATAGGGTCTGGGGGGGGATTAGAGGGGCTATGGGGTCTGAGAAGAGGTTACTCATGAGGGCTGGGGGGTTCAGAGTGGGCTACACAGGGTATATGGGGGRCACAGGTGCTATAGGGTCTGGGAGGGGGTGCATATGGGGGTCATATGGGACCATGGGGGATATGGAAGGATATGGGGGCACAGGGCTAGTTGGGAGGGGCTGTGGGGGGGATAGGGGTGATTAAGGGGTCTATGGGGACAGAGAAGCATTTGTAAGTGCTGTGGGGTGTGGGAGGAGGGATATATGGGAACATATGGTCCATGGGGCCTATAGGGGCATGGGGTCTGTGGGGAGCACATAAGATGGTTGTAGGGGCTGTGGGGGCTATGGAGGCCCAGGAGGGAGGGTATATAGGACACTGAGCCCATGAAGGCTACAGAAACCATATGGGCACACCAGAGGCACAGGGGTATGGGGGAACAGGGGTGGTTATAGGGGCTTGGAGGATTGGGGGCTCTGGAGTCCAGGGAGTGGGGAGAAATATACGGGGGCCAGAGGGGCCTGAGGGAGCCATCAGGGGCACAGGGAATGTGGGGACTATGGGGGGCACGGGGTTGTTATGGGGACTATGAGGATATGGGGGGCTTGTAGGGGCTCTGGAGGGCACGGAGGTGACTGGGGAGACACTGGGGTGGTTGTAAGGGCTATGGGGCACACAAAGATACATGGGGGTTGTGGGGGGCACAGGAGGGTCATCAGGGCTAGGGGAGGCACAGGAGCAGTTGGAGTGACTATGGGGGGCATGGGGACTATGGGGGGCACAGGGGGACCAGAGGGCACGTGGAGGACATGGGACACTCTGGGGGGTACAGAGGCAGTAGGGGTCAGCAGGGACAGGGGGGTTTGGGGTCCCCACTGGCCAGGTGCCAATGACACATCCCCCCAAGGCCAAGGTTAATGTTTAACCCCCAACCTCCCCCAACCCAGCTGGACACCGGGTGCCCATTCCCAGGGGTGCCCTTGGGTGCTCCTGATACCGGCAGGGATTTAAGGCTGGCGGGTGCCCGGGATCCCCACACTTGAACCATGGCTGCAATGCTGAGCCTTGTCCTGCTGCTGGTGGCTGGTGGTGAGCTGTCTCCTGAGCCCCTCCGTGTCCCCAGGCTCGGGTGGGTGCCCAGCAGGTGACGGTGCCGTGTCCCGCAGGTGTTCGTGCCGCGGTGCTGCCGGACTCCCGSGTGGTCAATGGGCAAGATGCGGAGCCCTACAGCTGGCCCTGGCAGGTGAGAGGACAGGGGGACAGGGGGACAGGACACTGGCACCCGTGGGGAGGTGGCATCACTCAGCGGTGTCTCCCCCCAGATCTCTCTGCAGTACGAGCGCGATGGCACCTTCCGCCACACCTGCGGGGGCACCCTGATCGCTGCCAACTGGGTGATGACAGCCGCACACTGCATCTCGTGAGGACACCGGGACTGGGGGTGCAGGGAACAGGGGGGCTGCACAAGGGGTACAGTGATGGGTGCTGGGTGTAGCGAGGGGTGCAGAGTGCAGGGAAGGGTGCAGAGAGCTGCATGGAAGGGATGTGATGTGCAGAGATGGGTGTTGGGGTGCAGAAATGGGTGTGGGATGCAGGAAGGGTGCAGAAGGGCTTCGGAGTGCAGGGATGGATGCATAGAGGGGTGTGAGGAATGCAGGGTGCAGGAATGGGTGTTCAGGTGCAGGGATGGGTGCAGGGTGTWRGGAARGGTGGAGGGGRTGCAGGGAGRGGATGCAGAGTATGGAGATGGGTGTTGGAGTCCAGGGATGGGTGTTGGGGTGCAGGGTGCTGGGGGGTGCATAGGCGGTGCTTGGTGAGGGTGCAGGGAGGTGAGCTTGGGTGCAGGGTGCATACATGGGAAGGTGCAGGGAGGGAGTCCAGGSTGCAGGGCAGGGGGTATGGCAGGGGTTTTGCGTGCAGAAAGAGCTTCAGGGCTCAGAGAAGCAAATTTGGGTGCAGGGTGGGTGAACGGGGATATGCAGGGAGGGGGTTTAAGGTACAAGCCAGGGGGTTTGGGTGCAGATTCGGTGCATGGGGAGGTGCRTGGAGGGGACTTTGGGTGCAGGGCACAGCGTTTGGGTGCATGGAAAGGCCCCGGGTAAATAAGGGGGCCGCACGTGCTCACCCCCTCTTTCCTGGCAGCAAATCCCGCACGTACCAAGTGGTCCTGGGAGAGTACGACATGAGCGCCGGGGAGGGCCCCGAGCAGCGCATCCCCGTGAACTCCAACGACATCTTCGTGCACCCCAAGTGGCTCAGCTTCTGTGCTGCCTGCGGGTGAGCAGGGTCCCTGGGGTACTGGGGACGCCCTGACCCCCCCGGCGGCCTCTCTGACCCCTGTTCCTGTGTTCAGCAACGACATTGCCCTGATGAAGCTGCAGCGCCCGGCCGTGCTCTCGGCGGAGGTGCAGGTGGGGCGGCTGCCGCCTGCCGGCTCCATCCTGCCCAACGGGTACCCCTGCATGCTCAGCGGCTGGGGACGGCTCACCAGTGCGTCCGGAGAGGGGAGGGAGGGCTGGGAGGGCGGGCACAGAGTGATGGGTGGGGAGGTGGGTGGAGGCATGGAGGGATAGGTGGGGAGATGGAGGGAGGGATGGGGAATGGAGAAATGGGGAGCGATGGGTGGGGAGACAGTTGCGGGGGTGGGGAGAGGGATGAGGAGGTGGTTGGATGGGGGATGGATGGAGGGATGTGGGATGGAAAGTTGGGGAGATAGGTGGGGGATGGATGGGGAGGTGGAGGGTTGGCTGGGGGAGACAGTTGGAGAGGTGAGTGGAGAGATRKGTGGAGGGATGGGTGGAGGGGTGTTGAAGGGTTGGAGGCATGGATGGGATGATGGAGGGAGGAATGGAGATGGAGAAATGGGGAGATGGTTGAGGGATGGTTGGGGATATGGAGAAATGGGGACGAGGGATTGTTCAGAGTTCTTTGGATATGGGGGACGGATGGAGGAGATGGGGAGATGGGTGGGAAGATGGGGAGATGGAGGGAGGGATGGYTGAGGAGATTGTTGAAGGGATGGARGGATGGGAARAAAGGGAGTGTTGGATGGAGGGATAGAAGAAGCGATGGGGACATGAACAGATTGGGACATGAATGGGAGATGGATGTTTAGGAAAATGGTCGGAGGGATAGATGAGGGATCAGGGTATGGAGGGATGGAGAAGGAATGGTGAAATGGATGGGAAGAGGAAGGGAGGAAGGGTGCAGGGATGGAGGGAAGGAAGGAGGGCTGGAGGGCTTTAGGGATGTGAAGCTAGATGAATGTGGGATGAGTGGATGGATGGATGGATGGATGGATGGATGGATGGATGGATGGATGGATG